TAACTAAGTATTATCTATATAATAATAAACTCTTACTTAATATTATAAATAAGTTAAGCTATTAGGGGATTTATTACTCTAGTTAATTACTAGAACTATTTATTCTAAAAAACTTATATTAAGCTTTTTAATATATTTTTATATTACTTAGAGTTATATAAAACTTATACTAAATAGATATATAAAACTATACTATAGGTTTCTTTTTCTATTCCTTAGTAATATTATCTTAATCTCCTATAAGATTTACTAGTTAATTAGTATAAGGATAGAGTAATTAATTAAATTAGTAATACCTCTATAAATAAATTAATTACTATAGAGGTATTAAATATATACCTTATATTTCTATTATATAGTTATATATTTAAATACTACTATAATTATAATAATTAATAGTAATTAAGGTACTAGTAATAAGTTTAACGTATTTTATATATAATATAGTAAAATACGCGTTATAGCGTAAAATTAGCTTTTTTTTATATTTTTATATAAGCGGGGAAAAAAAGGGGGGGCGGACGCTATCAACGCAACGGACTGTAAATGATAGAGGCGAGTCATGAATTAGAACCTTGCCCAAGAATGAATCAAGTTGTAATATTTGGGAACTCGCGGCCTTCAACGCTTCCTCCAGGGCTATTGTGCTTGGAACTGACGACTTCGGAAGATTATCCGTGAGCGTGCCGATCTGTGTTAAAAGCAGTTGAAAGGATCTCCGATACCGAATGGTTGATTCAACTTCGTCTTTGCGGCACTGGACTCCTTCGATGTATGCACTGATTGCCGAGCTCACCTGGATGCCGAGGGAGACGACTCCAACAACTGTTCCGAGAACCTCCGCCATGGTCTGGTTTCGCGATTGACAGGTATACCTTTGCTCGAGGGTGGGCTCCTGTTGGGTTGGGTGCTGCGATTGAACACACTTTGCACTCAACTGAGGATGCCAACTCCATCAACACGGTTGCGAATTAGGCACTGAAAGTTGTGAAGCGAAAAAGAGGAAAAGGGTGAAGGGATGGTCGGCTCCTTCTCATCATGATCAGGCCGGCGAATGAGATCTGTCAACGTGTCAGGCGGCTTATCCTGCATCGATGACTGACCTTGGCGCGGCGCAGCACTTTAGACTTGAACACAACCCAAATCTCACTTGTAATTGCAGTGCAACCACTTTCTGACCACGCGACTTTCTCAATGGATGTCGCAATGTGGGGCCGTCAAGGCACGAGAACCGAATGCGAATATGTTCTTATCTCGATCTCGGCAACCCCGTTGACATTGTGCGGGGTGAAAGCGAATAACCCCGCTTGCTTCTGTTATTTGTATCCTCCCACCGGCATTGTCAGATGCCAGGTGTGCATTCAAATAGCTCAAGATTGGACACATCAAGACTCTGGGACTGGGATGTTCATGTACATTGTATGGAGAAGATAACTATTTACATTGGCAGTGGATTCATGATCGACGACGGACGAGCCAGCGCTTGCAGTCCAAGACTGCTTCCCATTCGCACCTGCAATCCTCCTTAATACTCTCTGCACCACGCTAGCTCACCGAGCTTAAGCAGTGGTCCGAGATAAGACACAGGAAGCACAAGTCCACCGTTCATCCAATCGCAGAGAGTACCCCATGCCTTGTCGTTATCGCAATTGGTGAACTGCTTGTTAGCTGTCCTAGACTCAGTGACAGTGGTTTGGCCGTCGTAGGCATACTCGCACCATCCATGCGATGCCAAGCACGTCACCTTGCTGGTGCCGTCGAAGCTGGGGTCTCTGCCTTGGCAGTCCTCGACCTTGAAGATCTCGCTCAGATTCGCCCAGCTCTTGTCGTGGATCTTGTTCAGCACATCGACGTAGTCGTTCTTCCACTCCTTGGGGTTGTGCAGCGCGTAAGAGCTGCCCGTGTCGGGGTCAATCCAGAACTGGTAACAGTTGCCCGCGGGGCCAAGTCCGGGGCATGAGATGTGGCCGTTGGTTTGGGGTGCAAAGTCAAGCGCGTTCACATTAGTTGAGCGGGCGGAGACGATGCCGTTGGCTTTGAAGGCTTGTGAGAGGACGAAAAGTTGTAAATCATGGTAAAGCTCGGTGGCTTGAAGGTTCAAGCTGGTGACAGCCCGTTGGCTGAAACCACCGGGCTCAGTGGCAGCAATGAAAAGGGTGCTGTTCTGTTGAAGCTCCTTCAGGGCGTTCTCAAGGCTACCTTGGTAGTCAATGACAAGCTGGGCGAGCTCGCTGCCAATCTTGCCCAGCGTGATGAAGCGAGAGTTGGAAGACCCGGAAACCGAACTCATGAAGAACGAGCTCATGCCGGTGACAACAGCCATGCCCGTAGCAACACCGGCCAAAAGGGGGTTGGCAAAAGCACCAACGGCTGCCAACCAAAAACCGCCGGAGATCGAAGTCCATAATAGAGTGCTCGGGACCTGTGGGTCGGTAGATGGGGAAACGGTAGCAACGATATCCCCGATTGTGTCGGCAGCGAGCGAATGTCCGTTCCAGAGGGCCTCTGAAAACTGGTTAAAGAACTGCGAAATTGCGTAGATGTTCCAAAGAGTGTAAAATTGCTGAGGCGAGTAGTAATTCGCAGCAACACCTGCTGTTTCGAAAGCTCCGCAGGTATCACGAGTGAGTGTGTCGCAGGTTCGGCCGCCGTAACCATTGAAGGCCAGAAAACATTGGGCGAATCCCAAGTTGTCGCAGTCGGCCTTCGTGCCGTTTTCGGCAATCCACTTCGTGATGTAGTCGGTTACATTCAGTTGCGCCCAGCATTCGGGCTTGAGTCCTGTCTCTGAATCTGGAGAACAGTCCAATGTCTGGCGGGTCACGAGGACGTCGTCTGGAGAGATGGCGGCCACTGCAGCAACCAGCAGCCCGACGGTGAGAAACGATCGGATTGCCATTGCAATAAAAGGCAATAACTGAAAAAACAAAAAGCAAAAAAAGAGTGACGATTGTAAATGAGAGTCAGGCCTGGTTCCTTGTCTACCACTTCATGAGAATCTGGGGTTGGGTGCTCATTGAGATTTGTACTCTACGACGATGTCTAAGTTTACCAGTTAAGGTGACGTCAAGTGAGTCTGTCACCGTATGTACCGAAAGATAAGCCTTTCATTATTTTGACTCAGGAGCATAGATTTGATCTGCATTTTCAGCGCGTTTTTTATATGAAGGAGCACAGCTTTAAAGCGTGCAAATATGGGGCTGAGCCAGGTCATTGACTCGGAGCGCACCCACCACAATTCCGGCTCCACCGACACCGACTTCAACGCCGGACGAGGGATCGAGACAACACCGCAAAAAAAGGATTAATCGACCGGGCCCGCCTTCAAAGTTGCGGGTAGAATCTGCTTTGCCCAGACGAAAATAGTCTCTGCGACACGGCATGCATGCATTCCATCTCACCATCACTTGGCGAACTGACGAAAAGAGTCAAAAGACTCCCCTTCACTGATCATGAGACGGGAAAATCATTTGCCGTCGGCCAGTCTTGTTGAGCACTTGATTGGTTTCTCTTGAACTCTGGACTGAAATTCCGCTGACTTAATATCCAGCGCCGTGGTTCATCCTTCATCGCCGAGAAGTTCATCACGTGGAAGATATAACAACATCTAATAACACAATGCTTAGCAAAGCTTTGACAGGAGCAGGGCTGGGATGGACGTAGAAGAGGTGTGATTGAGTCTCAATTAGACGTTCGGCAATTGAAAATCGATTCCCGCGGCATGCGGAAGAGAGGATGCGCATGTCACCCGCTGGTTGAGACGGCCCGAAAAAGCCATTGTCGAGGAGTTAAGCCAAGCAACGAATCATAATGCTAGCTGCAAACACGTTTTCTGATTGCCAGGGTATCCCAGGGAGGCTATGAACACCGTGTGCGATGGGTTGCAACGCATCACCACCGCTGCCAATAACACCTAGAATTATGACAGACTGCAAAGCAACAGTTATCAACTTGCCATTGAGCGCATTCGATATCGAAGCAACTAGCACAGCTCCTTTTCCCCCTAACCGTGTCTCTCGTAGGGCAGGTCCCGCGATTTGACAGGTCGGAAAGTGAAGCTTGCGCCTCGAAAGTTGGAAATCGGAATCATTTACTTACATGTACGGAGGTACCCACAGAACAACATCGTCATGAGCGATTAATATATTGATTCTGACTCTCTGCTGACCGCCACGGGACTACTCGTGGATACCCAACGATGATGAACTATTCGCCGGCTGTATCCTCATTGAGACACGGCCAATGGAACAGATGCACTGAGACATCGAGTTAAGGTCCTCTGTACGTTGAGGAGCTGAGAACACAGAATCTGATTTTGTCACGCTGAACTAGTCATGCGGTGGGAGAGATCGGTCATGTTCCGATAAGACATCATGGGCCTTCACAGAGCCGGCAGAGTCGCGTTTCATTTTGCCCTCAGCGCCCTAGAGGCCCAATCAAAATACAAAGAGTCACGCCGCTTTCTCGGCTTTGAAGGTGTCACTGTAGGCGGCCGCTCCCGGTTGCTGTTAAAAATACCTTTTCCCAGCGGGAAAAGCCGAACCAGATCTGAGCCGCGCCGAGGCAGTCACGACATCGACGCCCTAAACTGCCGCGGTGGACTTTTGACATGACAACAAGGAATTGTCGCTTATGAGCTGCGACGCTGTTTTAAAATCTAACGTCTGGTGCCGAAGGGAAGTGTAATATTGACGGCTACTCCGGTACGACGCTGGCTTCTTGCTTTGAGGAACATATATCTATCTTCAAGATTTATCTGGGACCGATAGTCATACTCAATTCTCCTTCTAATACAGCCTTGTACTTGATGAGTAAGAGCTTTATCGGTTACTTGAAAAGTGCTTGACGCTGTTGTTTTCCCAGGTTTACAGGACTGGGTCGTTAATCGGATCGCTTGCGCCGGGACTCATGTGCTCTGGTCAATGGCAAGATGAGAAGCGCCTTACTTCCTCTTTTCCAGGCCCGGGTGGGGAACAGCATCACGAGACCGGTTTTCAAACGCAGGGAAAACCCGAGTCCGACGTCAAAATAGGAGTATCAAATGAGTATGTCAAATATCACAATTCCATCTGCGTTGGCGACGGAAAGTGCGGCACGGATTTCTGGGCAGCAGGGGGCCTGAGTCGTGGTGTGTCTTGAACGCACGATTCCTGCCGACAACGACTTGTCGAATACGACCAACGGCATTGGGATGAACAGTCACGAAGAGCTTATTTTGCCTTTGACATGTTTCGAATTTTCGTTTAACAGGAGCATGTCATCTTCTCCTTATTATCGCATGCCCCCCACCTCATGCTTTGAAGCTGGCGACCTCTGATATCGTCTTCATGAATCGAGCAGCATCATGCCCGAACCTGCCGAGGAACAAGCCATCCACCGCCTCTCCAAGTTTCTTGAAAAGCCCAGGTCCAGCACTGCCACCATATATAACCCTGGTAGTTCCTTTTCTTTTCTTCATGCTCTCATAAGCTCTGATGCCTTTCACCACTGAGATGACGTGGTCCTCGCTGGCGGGCTGGTCAGCACCAATAGCCCAGACCGGCTCGTATGCGATGATGACTTCCGCAGAATCAGGGATATCAGCCAAGGCTTGGTCAACTTGAATTTGGCACTCATCAAGTGCAACTTGCACATCGCCCCTCGTCTTCTCGCCGATGCAAATCAGCGGGGCCATGCCATTTCTGCTCGCAGCCGCAGCCTTTTTGGCGGTGATCTGGTCGTCTTCACCAAATATCCTCCTCCTCTCTGCATGTCCAACCTCGACTATTGATACACCAGCCTCGCTCAACACCGAGGGGCTGACCTCTCCGGTGTAGGCGCCGAAGTCTTCCCAATGGCAGTCCTGTG